TTTTTTTGTTGTATTTTTTTACGGTCTCGGTTTCAGTTGGTTTACCGTAACTGTTTGCAATATCGATCAATTACCGCTTTTTTAATTCCTTCATGATTGGTTGCAATTTGTGTAAAATAAAATCACGTCATCTACAGACTCTATAGCCTAGGACCAGGCCCTCTGGAAGGTGCAGGACTCTATAGCCTAGGACCAGACCCTCCGGAAGGTGCAGATATCCGGAGGGCATCACAAGGTAAGAGGCAATACAACACGTTACTGTTATCGATTCTGTTATCAGAGATTAACTCAAGCCGGTACACCTCCAGATCGCAGTACCTTGTACTTCTTTCTGCACCAGCGACATCGCGTGTAATTGTGTGTTATGTGTACGATAAGTTCACCACGAATGTAACATCAACAGAGGATAAACTTCGAAAGCCTCCGTAAGCGCTATTTTATACCTTGGCATATATATCACGTGTGATTGTGTGTACGATTAGTTCACCTCGAATGTAACAATAAAGCCAGACCTTTTGTATGCATGGCATAATGTGACTCCTCACTGCTCTAGCTAAAGGTTTCCTTAATAGGGAGGTTGGGGTAGAACTTAGAATCAAGCAAAAAGTTCTTTTCAAAACATATTTAATTATCCACTTCACTCAAGGCATGAATTACACAGGACTTTAAGAACTTTCGTTGAATCAGACACAGGTTCCGAAAACTCCTAGTAGACGCCGCGACATGAAACATAGAAACGACAAAGTCACTCCGCCAAATATACAAGTAACATATCTTAATGCAGTGACTGTATTCTGTAGAGGGCCTTGTATTATGCCTTGGCATAATAATGTGACTCCTCAGTTTCATGATATTCATTGAATGAAATATACTGAAATATACTGAAATATAAAAGGGATTTACGATCGTTTCGCATAAAATTTAAGGATATATTGTAACCAAGAGGCTAGCTTAAATTTTATTTTCCTTTGGGGATTCTGGTTTCCATTTCAGGAATGTACTTTTTCAGGTTCAATAGTATAATTCTGAGCACAGCGGAGAGCGTGGCCGCGCAGCCTAACTTAGGCTCCCAATAGAGCGCAGCACAATTTCTGAATGCTCTAGAAAACCAACTGTGTACAAGTATACAGTATTTACTGAATACCTTGCAAGTATGCAGTAAATACTGTGTACTTCGGCACACAAAGTAGAAGCACGTGACTTATGTGCGGTGCCGACCGGGGCAACTAGAAAATAAGTGACAACATGTGGTTAGGTTTAAACTCGCATCGATCAGAAAAGGAAACAGATCATTTCACGGCAGAAACCTTTCCCATATTGCCTAGCGTGCGTTAACCTAACTGAACGGACGAATTGACACTCTCCGGCAGATCCGCAGGCACCGGCCCGCCGGGGAGGTAGGCAACCCGACTGGCACCACAGCTGGCTGTGGTGCGATACTGCACTACGACGAGCAGGGATGCGCATGGGCTGGGGTGGGTGTTTCTGATAATGGCCTGTCAAGCGGCGCTTGTCCTTCAGCTAACAGATCCTGAAGGCACCCTAACAGGTTCACAAGGACGGTCGCAGATTCTATGAATAATTACAAAGTGAAAAAGAAATCTGTAAGTATATGCTAGGTATGGTGTGATTCTGATCTGGTGTAAAGGTTTAAATGTTAAAATACTGACTTCAAAATTGAGTGATTGATGAGAGTGCTGACAGAAC